ACTAGGTGTCACAGTGGAGACGGGTGTCGGATTGATTCGAAGCCTCGAAACAATATGGCCCATTTGGTTCAACTGTTTCATTGCTTCACGAAGCCTCGATCTGCCCATCACTAACTCACGGGAAGGTATACACACAGGTATTGTATCACAGGATTCACAATGAACCGGCACAAGACAGCAAACACAAGGGGATTAAATAGAGAGACTAATGATAAAACAACAGGTGACACAGGTAAAGCAATAATGACAAAACGAGGATAACAAGGGGGCAGGGCAAGAGAACGAGACAACACAAGCACATGGCCCAAACAAAAGGCCATGTGCTTGCACACAAAACATGGGTCTGTCATGATCCTGCCTCAAGAATTAAAGAACGACAAGGACTAGATGGCAGAATCATGACACTCAGTGCTGATAAAGATCGTATAATCTTTTCCAAGCACCGTTAATTTAACAGACACCTCAAGTGTTGCGATTTCAGCACTCAGTATCATAACAGCCTGACGTCTGAAAGCTAACGGGTTTTCAAACCCAGAGGAGTCATTTTAATCTGCCCGACTAATTTTCCATAACGAGATAAAATACTCTCAAGCGCTTTATCAGAGATAAACGGGATTACGTTTGAAAACATCATCTTTTTCGAAAGGTTAAACAAGGGTAATACGGGAACAAAAACATCCTGAATAGTCAAACTACACTCCACTAAATGATTGACATTTTCAACTTCTTTCAGAAAGACAACCATTGCTTTATTCATTCTAGAAGCAGACATGATGTTTTGTGCACCTATTTCTCTTCAATAGAAACCAAAACGTTCTCAATGGACACTGATGCATCTACCAGCATGCACTTGCACACAAGCCGAGCAGACAAACAGGACAAACCATCGGAGTTTGAGCCCATCTCTGCAGAAGTCAGCACTCCGACTCTCTGTCCTCTAATCCAAAGCAATATTCAAAAGGAATAAACCCAGAAAACAGAGAGAGAGAGAGAGAGAGAGAGAGAGAGAGAGAGAGAGAGAGAGAGAGAGAGAGAGAGAGAGAGAGATTAAAATATGTCAGTGCCAGATGCACACCAGTAGGCTAATGAGTTTTTTTTTCTAAGGCACGTTTATAAAAGTTACTTAAATGCCCTGAACTAAGGCCTAATCTTAATCTAAGATCTGTCTGTGAAACCAGGCTTTAAACACTTAAAACAAACAACTCTATTACTAGATCCTGCAGTTTTTGGGAAAACTCTCAATGTAATATTACAGTGTTTTAATGTCAGAGCTTCATCATCAGACGAGTTTGATCTGAAAGTCGACTCACATGCAGGAGTTTTCAGCAGCAGCATCAGTCCAAACATGAGCATCATTCCTAGAGTCCAGAAGAGCCAATAATCCAGCAGAAGAGAGAAGATGTTGATCAGTCCCACGGTCGCTAGAAGAGCCGCTAACACTCGTCTGTGCTCGCGTATATAAAGACTACTGCGACTTTCTCAGAGAAAAGGAGAAGTGCAAGCACAAAGTACAAAAATAACTTACACGAGTCTTTTCTGTCCTGCTGTGGGCTTTCCATTGGCTAATGCTTCTGCATTCTTACATTTTCATGTAGACATTATTATGTTAATAAGCTGTTTTCCTCACCCGTGTTGCTTTTATAACTGATATGAGCATCACTGAGCATCGACCGCAAGTAAACTGGCTTCGATGATGAGATGAACAAACCGTCTCCCAGTGATGGAATAACACTAAGGCCGTGTGTCCACCAAAGCGTTTTTAGCCGGCTGAAAACGCTAGACGCTATGCTGAAAACGCCTAGCTGTGAGCGCATGAGAGCGTTTTGGAAGCGCAGCGTTTTTTCCGTTGAGACGTTCCGTTGCTATGATACAGAATATCCGCAGCACAGTTTACTTGTAACTGATTTCGCAGGTAATTTGTTTCATACTAAAAAAAATATTTTTCATCCATTTTGTTCGGTTTGCTCTGCTGGTTGATGTCGTTGTACAGAAAGAATGTTGTGACAGTTGGTCGGTGTGATATTAGTCTCGCCCCTCCTCCACTGTGATTGGACGGTTGGTGAAAAGTGACAGTGATGAGCGCTGCGTTTTATCCAAAAGTTGAACATTTTTCAACTCTCGGCGACCAGTAAAAACGCCGGGCGCTCAGCGCTTCAGCGTGTAAAAAGCGCCGAACGCTCAGCGCTTGAGCGTTAAATACACGCTCAGCGCCTCGTTGCGCTCATGGCGTTTAAAAAACGCGGCACTCCCATTGAAAACAATTGAAAACGTACGCCAGCCGCGAGTAAAAACGCTTTGGTGGACACACGGCCTAACGGCATTACTTTTTCCAGTAACGAGTAAATTGATTACTCTTCTCATCTTAATAACGCCGTTACCGTTACTACCAAAACATGCGGTGCATTACTATAAAGCTGGGTTTTTTTTTTCATCAGACCAACTAGATCTCTGAGCGAGAGGCAAATACTTTTTTTTACTGTTCTTCCTTGGTTAGTGGGCAGAGCACGAGACAAGCGCATAAATGCTGACGATTGGCTGAGGTAGAGTAAAATGTCATTGTAAGCCAATCAGAGGTAGAGTTGGGCGGGTGTTCGAAAGCACGCATAGTAGTGATGGCCATTCGGCTCTTTTGACTCAGCTCACTGAAAAGAGCCGGCTCTTTTGGCTCACAAACGGCTCTTTAAATGACTTTGACTATAATATTTCAATTTTTATTACATAATTATTTAATTTCTATAGGCTAAATTTGTAAAAAAAAAAAAAAAAAAAAAAAAAAAAAAAAAATAGAGTCGGCTCTTCAGATATGCGAGCCAGCTCCCGACGTTCACCTAAAAGAGCCGGCTCTTAGAGTCGGCTCATTCGCGAATCGCGAACGACCCATCAAAAGCTCATTCGCGAACGAGTCGACCCATCATCACTAACGCTCATTCGCGAACGACCCATCATCACTAACGGCTAACGCTCATGAATTGCGAACGACCCATCATAACGCATAGTCGGACAGGGTAGAGGTGGGGTCACATTTGAGCATTTAAAATTTAATTTTACTTGAAAGTAACGCAATAGTTACTTTCTTAAGTAACTAGTTACTTTTAAAATTTGTAACTGAGTAACTAATTTAGTTACTTTTTGGAAGAAGTAACTGTAACTAATTACTTTTTAAAAGTAACTTGCCCAACACTGCCGTCTACTAAAGAAAACATCTGTCACGATTTGCACATCATCGAACAACTTTTACCCAAGTTTGAATTAACGTGTCCGGGAACAAAATCATAATGGATGTCACTAACAATGTCAAATTTATCAGTAGAAGTTTGTCTAGAATATCTAAAGCATTTTACTCAATGGAGACACAAGGAACATGTCAAAGTTTTCCAACATTTGCAACATTTCCTTTCAACTGACGTGTTCATGTTTCTTGTGAAATGTGACACATCACTAAAACACAACTATGATCTTCTGCTTCAGCTCTTGCTGTTCAGCTGTCAGTAAACCCTCTCGGTTTCTCTCAACGAAACATGAATCACACAGCGCTTCAAAACTGACACTGGATCCATTATTTGTTTCTTGTAATGTTTTGTTGTTCACTAGTTGGTGACAAAGTGAAGCAAAAGACAGAACAAGAGTACAGAAAAACAGATGTATTTTAATTGCATTGACAAAAAAACTAAACAATGTATAAAGAACTGGGCCCGTATTCCTAAAGAATCTAAGAATCCTTTTAGAAAACTCTTAATTTAGCTTAAAAACTTTTACGTAGGAGTCTTAGCTTAAGAGTGATTCGGGACCGATCTGAGAGCAACTCTGAGTAAGGAAAAGACAAAAACTCTCATCTTAGTGAGGAGGCGGGGCTGACCCCGTTGCTATGTATGACACAATCTTTTGAAGACTGTGATTGGTTGGTTGTCCAAGAAGGAAAAAAAAGAGCCATTTTAAGTATAGAGTTTACTCACACACACACACACACACACACGCACATTATATTTATGTATATAAATCCTTTTTTTTACCTTGCTGTTAATTTGATTGGCTTAGAATGATAAAAATTGTTCCACTCTTTCCAATTACACTGATTGCTGTCTATTTAAGTGGTGGTTTGAATGTTTGTTTTGAAAACATGGATTAAAAAACAAGAAAGACGAGAAAGCCTGACTGGTCAGAAGAACCGTGTTTACTGTTAGCCGAGTTAGTGGATGAACACTAGGCCGTCCTTAAAGGAAAATTCGGGCAGGGTGTCACAGCATGGAGCGAGAAGCGGACGTGGGAGCTTATAGCGCACATTATTAACGGTTCATTCCCCTGCTTGTGCGCACCAGGGAAGCCTGCTATATTCATAAATACAGTTTTTTGAGCCTGCAAGGTGGGAATGTCCAGTGGAAACTAAATGAACTGCGACACAATAAGAGGTTCTGAAAGTGCTGTAATGTTTGTGTGATCACTGCTTACAGAAGGTTGTCACAGACCCAAATCACTATTGCTTTATTGTATTTTCCCATTTGCCAAATATCTTAATGTAGTGATCATTTCTGGCGTTATGGCATTCCTGCGCTGTGTCGGAGATATTAGCGTGTCTCTAATAAGATCAGTCACAAACATGATCACTGCACAATCTCATCTATAGCGTCTTATTAACTCACTGTCGTCATCTATTGTCTGCATCACATTTCTTCTCCCTCTTCATCGTTCTGTCATTTTCTCCTCTGCTAAAGAAACTCTTAAGCCTCTTAAAAGTCCTCATCCATACTCCTAACAATTTTGACCTTAAGACCTCTTTTAAGGGTTAAGATGCTTTCTGAATTACTTTTTTCTTTACTGGGATTTTTTCTTTAATTTTAAGAGTAAACGCCCACATTTCTAAGAATTTTCTTAGAATTTTGTCACTAGGAGCTACTTTTTACATTAAGATTCTTTAGGAATACGGGCCCAGATGATTATTTATTTCGCACATTATTTGTTCACATCACTAAGGGTTTGTCCGGTTATATTTCTGCATCAGACACTCAATAACCGGAGCATTGCATCATAGTCCGCTCGCAACTGGGCCGTTGTGTTTTCACACTCGCAGTCTGTGGGTTCGTGGTCGTTTCACACTAGCGTGTGTGAACCTCAGAATACACACAATCCTCGTGCGTCTGACGCGGCCGCTGAACGCTGGAGCTGGTGAACGTCACTTCTCCATAATGAACCTCTTCTTCCTTCATCTTCTTCTTCCTCTTGTTCTTGTTGTTCTGAGAGTTGACGGTGGCATATTCTACATCTGCAGACACAGAGAGAGATTATACACAAGAGTTATGTTGCATTGATGTTGATAGTAAGCAAAGTACTAGAGACAGAGTCACCTGGATATTTACCATGAAACATATACAGATCTGTAGCAACTGCGGATCAAGGAAGGGGAGTTTAATGAAATAAACAAAAAGTAATGAACATAAAGCTGGAACAAAATAACACTGGGAAACAAGGACTACAAAGATCAGCAAACAAAGTGAAACACAAGGACAAACAAGCTTGTTAACAAGGAAAACTACAAAACTACAAGCATGGCCACAGGAACAGGACACAGACACAAGAGGAACATAAACTTCAACATAAAAGTCTCTACAAAACAAGCTCAACACTCGGATCGTGACAAGAACTTATTTTAAAACTTATTTCATAAAACATATTTTTATCCCTATGACAAATAAGTTACTGTATTTGTTTATTTATATCTTTATTTGCATTCTTATCTATACTGTACTTCATTTATTTATACTATTCATTTTGTTTGCATTTATTTATACTCTTTATTTATTTATTTATATTGTATTTAATTTGTTTATACTATTTATTTTAATTGCATATTTATTTATACTGTATTTTATTTATTTTTTTACTATTTATTTATTCACATTTATTAATATTCTTTATTTTATTTGCATGTATTATATATATTTATATATAAGTATGCAAATAAAATAAAGAGTATAAATAAATATGCAAATTAAATAAATAGTAAAATTAAATTAAATACAGTATTGTCACAATCCCAGACTCCGTAACCTCCCTCTCCGGCCATCAGAGGGCGCCCTCGCACGACTATTGACTCTTCCCTGTGCACACTACATTTCCCCAGCTCTGACTCTGATCACCATGCCCAGCTGTAGCTCATCTATCAGGCTTTTTCTCTGTGCAAAGTCTTGTTTTGCTACTGTGAACATTACTAAGCGTTTATCCCTGTGATTGCCTGATCCGATTGTGACCCGATCTGTGTTTGATATCTCCTTGTCTGCCGCCCGCCTACGTTACCTTTGCCTTGTTCTCAGACTCGGACTGTTATCCGCCTGGTATTTATATTACGATTTAGCCCTGTCTACACTGCTGTGTCTGCTGGTTTTGACTCTCGGCTGTTTGACTACTCTGCACAATAAAGTAAGCTGCAAATGGATCTCTCTGACTCTGATGATTCACAACGAAAGACTTCGCCACCCCCAGATCCAGCAGCTATGGCAACCTTGTCAGCAGCCTACTCAGCCCAAGCAGATCAAATTGCTGCCCATCATCATCATCAGTTGAGTCATCTCACCTCTTTAACGGACGAGCTGGTCAAAGCTGTTCATGGTCTTCAAGCTTCGTCATCTGAGCAATCGCCCACGCAAGCCTCCGCCGCTGTTGTTTGTCCTGCAGTAATTCCGCCTCCCATGGGTCCTCGCCTCGAACTTCCAGAAAAGTTCGACAGAGATCCTGGCAGATGTAAAGGGTTCTTTCTCCAATGCTCTCTATTCATTGCGCAACAACCAACGCTGTATTCCACTGAAGCTGGTAAGATCGCCTTTGTCTGTTCGTTACTCACAGGGAGGGCATTGCATTGGATAACGGCAGTGTGGAGAGATGATGGAACTGTATTTCTCCAACATTTCCGTGAGGTCTTTGAACATTCCAAGGAGGGGAAGAGTGCGGGCGATGACAAACTTCAGACAAGCTCACTGGTCAATGTTCTTAGAACACCAAGGCAGATGCTCTATCATGTCAATGCGACCCTGAGCCCACACCACAAGACCCCAAGACAATTCTGGCCCCAGACCTCATCGTCGCTCCCATTCAGTGGGACGTCGACACCGAGATCGAGCAGATCAACTCTCGGTCTGAGATCCTGTCTGCCTGTCCACCCAACCGGGTCTACGTCCCCGATATGCTCCGGAACCAGATTCATGCTCTTCCTAGCTCTGGACATCCAGGAATCACGACCACCATCCAGCTGCTACAAATACAAATAAATCGCTACTGGTGGCCCTCTTTAGCTCGAGATACCACTACCTTCGTCCAACACTGCCAAATCTGCAATACCCAGAAATCATCACGTCAACTACCTGCCGGTCTGTTAAAGCCACTTCCCATTCCACAACGCCCTTGGTCACATATAGCCATTGATTTCATCACCGATCTGTCTCTCTCAGAGGGTCACACCACCATCCTTCCCGTTGTAGACAGGTTCTCCAAGGCCTGCTGCCTAATACCCCTGGCAAAGCTCCCTACTGCTCTACAAACAGCAGAGCACCTCTGCAACCAGGTATTCAGGTATTCCTACCTGAGGACATCATCTCGATAGAAGACCCCAGTTCACATCTCAAGTCTGGTCAGCCTTCTTCAAGACCCTTCAGGTCAACGTCAGTCTCACGTCAGGGTATCAACCTTCAATCAAACGGGCAGGCCGAACGCATGAACCAAGAGGTTATCCGATTCCTACGCTCCTACTGCCATCAGGAGAACCCACGAACGACCCAGCCGTGAACGACTGGCTACTACGCAGTGAAGAAACATGGAATCAAGCCCATATCCACCTTCAACGGGGTAGTAGCCAGGAAACCCCAGGATGCACTGGAAGGGGGTCATGCCGGTGGAATGTTTCTGGATGGAGTTGTGGGCGTACTCGGCCCATATCAGATAGCGGTTCCAGTCCTCCTGATATTGATGGCAGTAGGAGAGTAGGAATCGGATAACCTCTTGGTTCATGCATTCGGCCTGCCCGTATGATTGAAGGTGATACCCTGACGTGAGACTGACATTGACCTGAAGTGTCTTGATCCGCTGTCAGAGGGAACAAGCTAACCGACAACGTCGTCCTGGGCCGGAGTACCACCCGGGCCAGTGGGTCTGGCTATCCACCCGAGACCTACGCCTGCGCCTCCCCTGTAAAAAGCTCAGCCCCAGGTATGTGGGTCCATTCAAAATAACACAACAAATCACACCAGTCTCTTTCCCTCTTGCCCTGCCTAATCATTACCGTCTTGCTCCCACCTTCCATGTCTCACTGCTCAAACCCGCTGATGGTCCCAACGAGAGGGAGGAGGAAAGGTCCCAGGAGCAGAACCCCCAACACATTCTGGTGGAAGGCGAGGAGGTCTATCGAGTCCAGGAACTCTTAGATTCCAGACGTCGGGGCAGCTCCCTTCAGTACCTGGTCGATTGGGAGGGATACGGCCCGGAGGAACGTTCATGGGTTAACGCCACGGACATTCTGGACCCCAGTCGAATCACTGACTTCCATCACTCTCATCCCAACAAACCTGCTCCCCGACCACGTGGGAGATCCGACGTCGTCAGGCTTCTCGCGCCAGGAGTCGCTTGCGAGGGGGGGGGGGGGGGGTTCTGTCACAATCCCAGACTCCGTAACCATCCTCTCTGGCCATCAGAGGGCGCCCTCGCCCAAATATTGACTCTTCCCTGTGCACACTACATTTCCCCAGCTCTGACTCTGATCACCATGCCCAGCTGTAGCTCATCTATCAGGCTTTTTCTCTGTGCGAAGTCTTGTTTTGCTACTGTGAACATTACTAAGCGTTTATCCCTGTGATTGCCTGATCCGATTGTGACCCGATCTGCGTTTGATATCTCCTTGTCTGCCGCCCGCCTACGTTACCTTTGCCTTGTTCTCAGACTCAGACTGTTATCCGCCTGGTATTTATATTACGATTTAGCCCTGTCTACACTGCTGTGTCTGCTGGTTTTGACTCTCGGCTGTTTGACTACTCTGCACAATAAAGTAAGCTGCAAATGGATCTCTCTGACTCTGATGATTCACTACAAGTATAGTGTATTTTACTTACTTTTAATACTTATTTTATTTGCATTTTTATACTCTAATAATTTATACTGTATTTAATTTATTTGTACTTTTTATTTATTCGTATATTTCTTTATTCTCTTTATTTTTATTTGCATGTTTATCCTCACACATCATGACTTTGCTCTTCACGCTGGATCTCATTTCCGTGACTCAACGTCAGGACTGTGTGACAAATGGTGTTACAACATTTACAGAAAAACAGAAGGAAGCTTTCGGCTTCCTTGCTAGACTTCTGTTGGTCGATTTCACTAAAGCCACAGATGCTTTTTTATCACTTTTCTTTCACTCTAGAGTTTTTGTTTTTATTAAAAGCATGCAGTTCGGCTCTGTAACTCATAATATCACAAATCAGACTGTGACTTACAGGTGTAGAGTCTGACCATTATCATACTGATGATGATGCGTAAAAAGCCCATAAACCTCCAAAACCTGTCAAATCCTTCAATTATTATTATTTTTTCTGTAAAAGGTTTATATAAAATGTGACCGTTGCTGATATTTCCATATTGTTTAGCCTACCACAATGAGGGCAAGATTTACATGTTCACATTGCTACTGTAAACCGTTCTGCATTTTGTTCAGTTCCCAAAACTGCGTGTTATTTACTCGTCAAAGCTCATTTTTTTCTCATATTTGTGTGAATATTTTTTTTGATGTTTGTTGAATCTGTATTTCAGTCGCTCTGATCCTCATTAAAGCCTCCCGATGTGAATCTTACCTGGTCTCTTCTGTTCTTCCTCTCTCTTCTGAGCGTCGTGTTCATTCACATGATCTGAAACATCGGAGAAAATACTCACATTAAGCATCGTAAAAAACTAAACACCAATATTAAACTATGAGGAAATGTCAGGAATTGTTATCAGTCATTTAAAGCTAACCAATAAATACCCCCCAAACTGTTTCTGCTTTCACCTGTTTTCTATTAAAATAACTTCTACGATGTTATATTAGATGTTTTTCATGCATAAATATAAATATCTGTCATTATTTACTCTATGAAAAATATTGGAGCAACATCAGAGTGAATAAATTATATTTACTGTACATATATTAATTTATCGGATTGTTTAATATAAACAAATGTACAGATGAGGACATAAAATAAGTGATGAAGCCGATAATACAGCGGCGCTGCGATACTACATTTCATAGATTGATGAACTCAACCGGACTGACTTCTTGTGGGTTTGAGCTGATTCTTCTTCTTGTAAAAGTAATACGCCACGATGACCAGAAGTATAAGAACTACAGCGAGACATCCCAGAACGATGGCAATGATTGCAGGATCTTCCCCTATGGAAGGAAAACACAGGACGAGGTTATTAAGAGTTAAACACAAAAACGGCTGCAAAATATTAATTCATAACAACACTGTAAAAAAAAAGTTGCTGGCTTACATTTTTAAGTATAATGAACTTGAAGGATTAAGTTATTTCATTTATTAAATTATTTAAATTACATTAAACCGACTTAAAAAAAATGAGTTGAATCTTGTATATCTTATAATAAAAGTTGAAATTGCTTAACTTATTTTAATGAGTTAAAGCAATTTAAAAACATATGTTGTCATAACTTATTGGTCATATATTTTTTTACAGCAACTGAATTAAACAACTGTTTTATTAGAAATTAAAATCTGCTGTTAACACATATTGATCAAGCCGTTTTCTGTTGACACTATCTGTCAGATTATACATATTCTACTGAGATTTTCTGTATGAATATATGTAGATGTTTCTGTCTTTCTATCATTCATCTGTTCTTTATGTGTTATTAGCATTGATTTGCATGACAGTGAGATCTTTGAGAACATGAGGTTGTAATGAGTCTGATGAGAGTTACTGTACCTTCAACAATCACTTGAAGATCTCTAGATGTTTCTGTGCCGTCTGAGGCAAAGACTTGTAATCTGTAATTCCCTGAATCTGCTCTGATCACAGAGTTTATTACCAGAATCCCATTTTTGACTGACACTTTATCATATCTGTTATTAAAGAGATCACATTCCTTCATCGTGTCATCCTTTATTTTACAAACTGGATCATCTTGTGTGTTGTAGTTTCTCTTTTGTATCTTCAGGTTATATTTACTAGCGTCCACCAACTTCAGTCTGAGTTTGTCTCCGAGAGCAGCGGAACAGGGACCAGACTGATCAAAACTGCAGTTAACCTCCACACCTGAAGAACAAAACACACAATTTTTCAATGTTTGAAATTTAAATTATCCAAAAATCATGCTGTAAGGCAATAATCACTATTGACTCTTTCAGCATAAATTAAAATTTGAAAAATAGTGATTCTAATTTTTTATTTATTATTATTCTAATAAATTCTGTGGCGTTTTGTAGTGAAAATTGAAATTACACAAAAAGATTTTGCACTTAATTAACCCGAATAAAAAAAATAAAATCTTTATATAACCATCAATGCCAATAAACAATGGCACTTATACTGTACACTTTATTTGTCAAATGTATAAATGTTATGTTTAGAAACATCCAGATGCTAGAACTGATCACTGAAAGGTTCTTTGGAAAACCAAACATTTTTCTTCAATGGAATCGCTGCAAAAATCCCCTTTTGAAATCGTTATTTTTAAGACAGTGTGTCATTTGAGACACACCTACTATTACCGGTCACTGAAAACTAAAATTCCTTTTGAAACCCGTAATGTTAAAACACAAAGGTTTATTTGTCAACTCTGGGTGTTTGTATAGTCTTTTTAGATAATAAAGAAAACTATTTTAAAAGGACAATTTTCACACTATCACTATGTAATGTGTCTATTAAAACATTCACCATACATGCATCACAGGAGAAATCTATAATTTTAGTATTTTTTCTGAACTCTATGAATATGTCCACCACATTTCATACTTGGTTTAGAAGATCATAATAGATTTTAAAAGTAATAATTAACATGTACTGTACCACTTCCACAAATAATTAACCACACCACAAACATTAAACCAAGACTTACTACCAAATCAGTCCTATTTCTCTTTTTCTGCTTTCCACATCTACTCTAATGTACAGTACATGCTATGAACATGGCTGTGACAAATTGCTTAATATGTTCCTCATATTTGGATAAAAGCATCTGCTAAATGAATATATGCAAATGTAAATATCATGCATTTTCATTGTTATGTATAGCAAGAGTGAATATATCAAGTTTAAAGTCCCGCATCATTTTATCCCTTAAAACTCATCTTTGATCACCAAAATGACATATTTAAACTTTTTTTTTTTCCTTGAAAACAATTTCTTCATGCCTTAAAACATCTTGAATGTAACTCGACACCCTTGCCTCATTTAGTATACTCGGTTCTATGAATATCCAAATGAGCCCCTTCATAAGGCTATATTAAAAGTGCTGGATTTTCACCACATGGGGACTTTAAACAATAAAACACATTTTTAAAAATAGATGAAATATTAAGTGCGAGGTAACTGATTCCAAGGCTGCTGTAATGTGACCTTCATATAAGTTGGAAAATCAAGTCATAAAAGTGTTTGATACGGTATCGGTTTGAGCTGAAAGTCGACTCACATGCAGCCGTTTCCAGCAAAAGCATCAGTCCAAAGATGAGCATCATGTCTGGAGTCAGTAATCCAGCAGAACAGAGAAGGTGTAGATCCCGACCTCAGTCCGTCTGTGTTCTGGCTCTCACTGAAACACAGCAGGAAATTATCTGACTTTTACAAAGAAAGGAGGAAGAGGAAGTTTCCTCATCTGAGGGAAAGACAAGCAGACGCTGAGGGTCAGCAGTTTCCAGTAATACATTCTTCAACAATGGAGACTAAAAAAACAAAACAAACAAGCAACTCCATACCTTTATCGTCTCAAATGTACTTTATCTTCAGAGATTATTCTTAGTTTGAATCAAATAAATGTTCATCTGTTCTAGTTATAGCTACAGAAAAGCAACACTATTTCTGCCAGCGATACAGTATAAAAGCAGAAGCGCAGAGCAGCAGATCTTCACCAACCACAAAACAACTCGTCTATAAACACATGCATGTCACCAGCGTTCAGTTTAAAACCACTTAATCAACCTAGCCTAACACTACCTTAGAACAAGTATTAATAGACGTTTTACAACTATTTGTGTATCCTGCTATGAAATATCTTCCTGTCAACATCAACGTTCATGGTGATTTTTTTAGGCCCTGTGGTTTTGAAACCGGAAGTGGGCAATGTGTGAGAACGAATGGGCTCATGGTCTCACAAATTCACGTGCAAGTTTGTTATTGGCATAATTTGTATATATTTAGACATTTCTCACATCATGTGTGGACTAGTGTTTATTGCACTATATTGTTAAAAGGCAGCATTTCAGATACATGCATTTACAGTAAAATACGTATTTAAAAATAATTATTAGAGTATTATTTATTTGTATTGCAGCTTTTAGTGGGCAGGAATTATTAGAAACATGGATGAATGAGTAATAAAGAGTGGGACGTGCTTGATGTTAAAAAAAGGAGTTATTAAAAGTGCAATTTTCTAGAAAAAAGAACTCACATTCAGTATTTGCACACTGACAAACAGCTTTCTGTGCGAGGCTAAACGGTCAAATACACAAACAAATATGTAAAAATCTGAGCTTTCATGTAAACACAGTCGGGTTATGTCTTGTGTAAACAGGTGGAGAACAACGCCATAACTCGCTGATTCACTTCTACAGGAGCCTGCGATGCATCACAGTGGTTAATGATGTCACGCACGTGGTGGAGAAATAACTACTTTTAACGAATCTGTTGAGATCGAATTAATGCTAGATGTTTTGCTATAAATTACAGACATGGCATCTGAGGAATATTTCTCATTTTTCTCAGTTATTTTATTCTATTTCCAGATTCAATCATGCATAGGCTCGTTCTTACGTGGTTTATTACGTTCGCACATGCGCACTCTTCAAAAACTGTGCTTTAAATCTCTTGACAAACTAAATGTAAACTACATGTGCAGGGTTCTCAAGTTTTATCAAAAGCTTGGAGTGAGATCACATGCGGTTAGGGGAGGAGCCTAAATGGAGCCCCGCCCCGCCTAGCCCCGCCCCCAATTTTACATTTATTGTTCATAATTAACCAGCAAAAAATTGAAATTATAACAATTGGTAAATCTGATAAATGACAGAGCAATTCATCACATCAAATATAGGCCTACTCTTTAATGTTATATTTCAAAATTAGGCTACAAATATATAACAAATTGCTCCAAAATGTTTGGAAAAACTATATTTTTGCATTTTTCCCTGACATCTTTGAAAAATACAAATGTAATGGCAATGATTAGGCTAATGTATGTTTTGACAGGATATACAATATTACCAAGAGCACTCTGCTTTAGCCTTAATGTAACTAGAAATACTATTAATACAGTATAATATAGAATTTAAAATAAACTGAAGAAATACATCTTCATTCCTTCCCATACCCAATAACATTTCCTTAGCCAAACTGAGCCAAAGCTTTTGGCCTGGTTGCAAAGCAGTTGTAGAGTTTTTGACTGCATCAATAATGTATACGATGGGCTATATATTAAATGTTCTAGTCTAAAAATGTTAGGCGAGCTTTCTTCCAACTTACTTTCTCCATCACGACGTGTGTTCGCGCGATGTCGCGGTGTGTTCGCGGACTTCGCGCGTCTATAAGTTGCCTAGTAACGAACGCAATCTGGCCGAGATGCGGACGCGCTGGCGGCAGGAAACTTATCTTTGTGTGCATGCGCCTCGTATACAACGTTATATATAAAGCTTGCAGGACAACTTGGTTGGCATTGCCTTTTCAGCGTGAGATATACACGGTGTGGCGTGTGAGCGTGTGAACTGGTTGAATTGCGTGTGTCTCACGGCCAATGTGTGAGACTTGAGAACCCTGATGTGTATGTATTCTAAATAAAAGACACAGATTGTAATGAATGTCAGCTTGCTTATTTTGCTTAAGACAAGGTTTATTAAGTTCGCATGTCATGCAAACAAGAACCTCAGAAACTTACCACAGGTCGAGAGCTGTCGCTCACACACACACACACACACACACACAAACTCTGCGATGCTGTTTGCAGATGTTTGTTAGAACTATGTTTTCGTGAAACACCAACTCGTTGAACTGCTGATAACGACGGAACTTGCGAACAAATTTGGCTAACGATGCATAAACTCTTAAAGTGACAGTAGCCTAATAAACCTGCTGCCGTCTGTGTCACTATAATGTTAATCAAACGACAAGAGACAAAGACAAAATCACTCGCTCTCGACTGAATAACCTTTGTAGCTTTAATAAATATCAGTGTGTATTTAATTTGTATACAGTGAGGACTTTGCAGTGTTTTTCATCTGATTACTTATTCAATTTCTGTATTACTTCTGTTAGGTAGACCTGAAAAACATAGCACTCTTTATTTAATTTGTATCTTATGTTCTATTGTATTTATTTGTCCTATTGCTTGTCATTTGTTCTTATTTTATTAGTGACTGTTTACTTCAATAATTTCTTGATTTTTTTTTAACTTACATTATAAGTTTTTGCTGTGCTGTTAAAACTGGTATTGAGAATAGTGTAATCTCACTATACTCCATTTAAAAAAAAAGTATTTATGCCCATTTTCATGTATTTATGCCCATCTCTGTCTACACTCTAAAAAATGCTGGGTTATTTTTAAACCCAAATGCTGGGTTGAGCAAATGCTCATTTGACAATGACCCAGCATTTTGGTTTGTTTTGGAAACTTTGAGCCAGCATTTTTTTGAGTATACAGCACAGTCAAATACACGAACAAACTCGCGTGAGTCGGTTCTTTGAATATCAGTTTCAATCAGTTTGACGAATCCTTCACTGAATGAACGCATCGAAAATCAAATTCTATTTAGGAATCGAATACTAGCATTCTATTCCTTCTTGTAATCTTTATTAGTTTTAAAGTTTATGTAGGGAAACAGAACTGACCATACTATATTTATGGTCTCACAAATTCTATATACCTTAAAATAGATTAAAATACAAAAAAAATAATGTCGAATTAATAGTACACCTACAGTAATAGGCCTTCAATATACAAATTCATGGACGTAATCTCTTATTTTATTTTTTAGCTCGATCAAATTCCACCATTTAAGTTACTCTACTTTACTCCACTGAAATTTGGATGTTGACCTCACCGCTCCTGTTTCTGAGCCGTTTCACATTTTCAGTGTGAATTCGCTTTCCAGTGCTGTTCACACTGAGACCGGATCAAAAACATGTTTTCAGTAATTTGAATGGTTTCATGAGTTAGTTACGACACTCGCTTTTTTATTATGTGTGTGTGTCGGAGAGAGAAATAACAGAAATAAATAAAAAAGAGAAATAGACTGATGTCATGGGCTGCGTCAATTATCTTTTTATCCAATATATAGTTTACTTACATTTTATTCAGACCAGACCTTAGTTCACCTCTGCTCATGCTTTCTGTCACTTCTCTAAAAGTTAAGAAGTGTCACTCGGCAAACTCTGTTATATCAAGTGTCGCACGAGTGTGTGTTTTACAGAGAGTATTAGCATAAAGTCATGTTGAAAAGGCTAATTTGTTCTGCTTCTAAATTGTTAAAAACACCAAGAGGACAGAGCTAATTCTAAGAAAAGATAGTGTTTGGCATGATTAACAAACACAGGCTACTATGATATAAAAATATTAGCAAAGCTCATATAGGCTACATTACTTATCTCTTGCTCACTCTCCTGGCAATATTATTTTACTCAGAGATATTTGGTTAAAAACTTGTTTATTGTTAGTTACTATTATTAGTATTTGTATTATTATTATTATATATTATTTGTATTATTATTACAAATTTATCTAAATTTTTCAATCAATCATTGTTTTATTATTTTTTATAATTCATTTCAAAAATATTTTTTATCCATCACTTCTCGGTCTGACTGAATCTCACTAAATACATCAGAAAAGTAGGCTATATTCTGGCAATAGAACATTTGCAATTGGTTCTCAACCCGCGCACTGCAAGATGTTAGCTAAGATAACATTGGTTTAGGCCTACTATATTCTGAGACATTCGAGCATTTGTGGTCTGTCTATCAGAAAATTACAGACTTTTGCCCTCATCTAAACAGCAAGCACAAAAGTTCATCCTATGTCAATCGGCTACATTTGAGGGATGACGAGTAATAAAAGAAAAGCGTTAAACATACATTTCACATGATATAGCTAATGATTAATGATAAAACATAAGCAAATGATAAAAGATAAGAAATATGTATTTTTCTTTTTCTGATTCTTCATCAGTAATGTAAAAGTTGTTTGATCTGTGATCAGCGCGTGGCGATTGTAACATCAATAAAAAAAAATTTTTAAAACCCTAAAAAATTAATCCTCTCCTGTGTCCTTATAGAAGTAATAATCATTGTATTACACTTCATAATCTCATTGGAAGTAGTAGCAGCAGTACGGGCACAACTTTAGGTGCTTTTTACCTATAGAGGTGTAAAGTCCAGGTTCAGAGAGTAAAAGTCCTCCTCAGTATTTTGTCCCAATCACCTGGATTTGCTAATTAGCACAGTTTTTCAGCTAGGAGATAGAACTAATTAGTGAATAAACATGGCAGGACTTTTACTTTCTGACCCCTGGACTTTACACCTCTGCTCTTGTATGGGTACTGTGAATTCAATTCAGACATTCTTCTTTTGTCTCATACTGTTTTTGTCTACTAAATATTAAGCGATTTCGGATGCAGCCTGTGTGTTGGTTTCACTGAGTTGGGAAAAGAGACTTTTATTTTGAAAGGAGCGGACCCGGTTCAACCCGGAAGTTAAACACTCGGCAGTCGTCCCGGTGTTTTCTTGTCTGTGCTTTAGTCTTTGAACATCTGAGGGGTTTTATCTTTACTTTACTTATTTTTCCCCCCGTTAACGGGTCAAATGTCCGCGCAGGGCGACTGTGAGTTCCTGGTGAAGCGCGCGCGCGAGCTCGTGCCACAGGACCCGTATGCAGCGAAAGCCTGGCTGATCACCGCGCGCACCCTCTACCCCACAGACTTCAACATACAGGTGATGATGATACACACACACACACACACACACACACACACACACACACACACACACACACACACACACACACACACACGATCATATACAATAACAGCCTCACTGCAGTGCACACATAATTCAGTGCTCTAGCTCAGGGGTTTTCAATCTTCTAGATGTCACGGACCATCCTCATCCTATATATAGTGTCATGTGTGTTTGAACTATGAAAACAATAGCCCTACTCTTTTCTCACAGTGTCTGAAACGGTTCGATTAAAGGTACAATATGTAATTTTTTCGCCGCCAGAGGTCGCATTTTCAAAACAATAACAAAGTCGAAGCTTGATGACGATGTGAAGGAGAGTGGAACTATGGGAGATGTCGTTTTCACCATCCAGAGATGAATAGAATTCACGAATCATATAAATTATATATCAGCTAATAAATTAGTTTTTGTATTAGCTGTACGTTTTATCACACTATGTTATGTCATCGTAATGAATTAGCTGCAAGAACGTGAAATGTTATGCTATTAGCCTGTTACTAATATGTGACTATTTGTCAAATTATTTGGTGGGTTAATGCTGCACAATTTTACACGTTTAAAACAGTCGTATTAAAAGTATTTGCAAGTAATGGCTAAATATTTGTGTGCAACACATACTGTATTTAATTTCACTGCCATAGACTTGGTCACCAGACTTGATAAAAAGCGTTACTGAAGTACAAGCAAAGTGCAATATATGCAATAATGCAATATATAAGCGCGGATATTACGTCATTGATAGGCGACAATGACCATTATTAAAAACTGGATTTTTTTTTTTGTTTGTTTGTTTTTTACAAATCCTTGGGAACTTTTGGGATAATGTAAGTACACAACTGCATGAAATATATCACACTGTGAAAGTGTCTTGTAAATATATTTTATTACAAAAAACGTACATATTGTACCTTTAAGGATTAATTTTCTCTAAACCCCGCCTTTCCGAGAGATGCTCTGCTCTGATTGGTCAGATGTCGCAGTCTGTTGTGATTGGCCAACCGCTGTATTATAAATAAATGTAAAATATTATTTGGAAAATATTTTTTTATGTATTTTAGTTTAATCTTCCAGGTTACTGTATTAAATTGGTGTTCATGCAGACAAGCATCGATTCATGAACTGATTAAATGTATGTCTTGAATGCCTTGTAAGTTCATATGCATATCTGAATGTGTGTATGTGCAGTGTGTTTGCAGGCAGTTTTGTGTCTGATGTGTGTGTTCTGTTCATGTGTGTGCAGTATGAGATGTACAGCATCGAGCGCAACGCCGAGAGGACGGCCTCCGCCGGCAGGCTCCTGTACGACATGTGAGTCCACAACACACACTTTCACTTTGGATGAGTTCATGATTGCAAGCTTCTGTCGTTTAAAGTTGTTTTTCTGGTGCACAGATTCGTGAATTTCCCTGAGCAGCCGGTGGTCTGGCGTGAGATCGCAGTGATCACTGCGGCGTTACGAAACGACAGCCAAGACAAACACGCACAGTTTCTCAAAGGTGTGTGACCCACATCAAAATGGGTTTTATTTTTAGTTAAAGTGCAGTATTATGTGTTTTAAAGGCTGTTTCGGACTGTCTCACAACAGGTTTACATTCATCTAAGATCAAAAACACTTTATTCTCTCATAATCTGCACTGCAGCTTCAGCTCTTTTCTCTCAGTGTCTGAAACACTTCAGTCTCTCTAAGCCCCGCCTCTCTGAGAGCTGCTCTGCTGTGATTGGTCAGAAAGCAAACGCTCATTATCATATCTGAATCTCAGCTCTTGATCACAGTGATACGAACAGTAATAAAAGTGTCTTTTATTGTTTCTTTTAGGACACAATAGCTTTATTTGTGATGTACTTTGATCTTTGAAACTTTGCAGACCTTTTAGATTCACAAACAGCTTTATTACACACTACATGAAAGGTAATTTTTGAAAAGGCATGATAGGGGAACTTTAATAATAATAATAACCGTAGTTTGTTTAATAACATGTAGTTATAACTAGTTAATAACTATTGTACTGTTGTTGAATAACATGCATGTGATCATTGTAGTTTCTTTAGTAACTTTGTGTGTGTGTGTGTGTGTGTGTGTGTGTGTGTCTGTCTGTCTGTGTGTGTCTGTCTGTGTGGCTGTGTGTGTGTCTGTGTGTGTGGCTGTGTGTGTGTCTGTGTGGCTGTGTGTGTGTCTGTGTGTGTGGCTGTGTGTGTGGCTGTGTGTGTGTCTGTGTGTGTGGCTGTGTGTGTGTCTGTGTCTGTGTGTGTGTCTGTCTGTCTGTCTGTGTGTGTGTCTGTCTGTGGCTGTGTGTGTGTCTGTGTCTGTGTGTGTGTCTGTCTGTCTGTCTGTGTGTGTGTCTGTCTGTGTGTGTGTCTGTGTGGCTGTGTGTGTGTCTGTGTGTGTGGCTGTGTGTGTGTCTGTGTGGCTGTGTGTGTGTCTGTGTGTGTGGCTGTGTGTGTGGCTGTGTGTGTGTCTGTGTGTGTGGCTGTGTGTGTGTCTGTGTCTGTGTGTGTGTCTGTCTGTCTGTCTGTGTGTGTGTCTGTCTGTGTCTGTGTCTGTCTGTGTGTGTCTGTGTGTCTCTGTGTCTGTGTGTGTCTGTCTGTGTGTGTGTCTGTGTGTCTCTGTGTCTGTGTGTCTCTGTGTCTGTGTCTGTCTGTGTGTGTCTGTGTGTGTCTGTGTGTGTCTGTGTCTGTGTGTGTCTGTCTGTGTCTGTGTGTGTCTGTGTCTGTGTGTGTGTGTGTCTGTGTGTGTGTGTGTGTGTGTGTCTGTGTGTCTCTGTGCCTGTCTGTGTCTGTGTGTGTCTGTGTCTGTGTCTGTCTGTGTCTGTCTGTGTCTGTGTGTGTCTGTGTGTGTGTGTGTCTGTGTGTGTGTGTCTGTGTCTGTGTGTGTCTGTGTCTGTGTGTGTCTGTGTCTGTGTGTGTCTGTGTGTGTCTGTGTCTGTGTGTGTGTGTGTCTGTGTGTGTGTGTGTGTCTGTCTGTGTCTGTGTGTGTCTGTGTCTGTGTGTGTGTGTGTCTGTGTGTGTGTGTCTGTGTCTGTGTCTGTGTGTGTCTGTGTCTGTGTGTGTCTGTGTCTGTGTGTGTCTGTCTGTGTGTGCGTGTGCGTGCGTGTGCGTGTGTGTGCGTGTGCGTGTGTGTGCGTGTGCGTGTGTGTGTGTGTGTGCAGGTGTTTTTGAGACTCTTCCAGGTCCAGTTCAGTGTAAGATGCTCTTGAAGGCCACAGAACAGTGTTTCAACACGCTGGAGAAAGCGGAGATGCTGCTGCTGTTACTCAAGAGATTCCCGGAGTCTGTCGTTCAGCATGGAGTGAGTGGATTCATCACACACACACACACACACACACACACACACACACACACACACACACACACACACACACACACACACACACACACACACACACACACACACACACACACACACACACACACACAGACACACACACACACACGCACACACACACACACAGACACACACACAGACACACACACACACACACACACACACACAGACACACACACACACACACACACACACACACACACACAGATCTTTCTTCCCTAATATACTTCATTTATTTGTCAGGACCAGCGCTCATTAATGAACACAATCAATACTGTAAATGAGCCAGAGTTATAATAGGCTAATGGAAAAATAAAACTTTTTGATTTAAGCTTTGAAGGCTTTGAAGGCTCTCACACATATGTTTAAAACATGTTAAACACACAAACTAATAATTCTTTTGTGGGTTGATGCATAAACGTTTGAGAAATAATTATTTTTCCAACCTAATACAAACCCTGCATGACCTCTGACCTAAAGCTGTCGCGATAACCGCAATATTGCAATACTGCGATACTGACAAGCCAACCGCAGCGATATTCGCGTTTTCTTTTTTCATTCTTGTTTTGCACTTCGTGAAGGTGTATTGAGTATTAAATAAGTTAAAAATGATAATAAGACTATGTTTAGCATGGTGATTTGCACTTAACAAGCCTATGAACAGACAGTGACTAAGATCGACTGAGCGCGTGCGATGACCTGCGTCTGTCTTTGAGGTCAAGTCATGTGTTCGTGAAAAGGTTGCCGTGTCCAAGGAAAGCGAGATCTTTCGCTGTATCATCCTTTTAACATTTACGGGTATTTACCATGAAGGGCGTCAGCGCTCAAATCTCAGGTGATCATCTGCGTCCTCGTTGCCCAAACGACGCATTGCCGGTCAGCTGAGCCTTATGAAATCATTAACACCTTGTTTCACTACAGCAATCTTTGAATGAATCAGCATTTTTCGCTGAATGAACGGTTTAATAACTCAAAGACAGTCCCTTGCCGTCACCTTGTGGCGTAACAGTGTAACTGCGCTGAGTGACAGCCTGTCTAGAATGACCACAACGTAACACTTATTTATATAGAAATAAATGGCGATAATGCATATATTATAATATAAACCCACAAGGGTGAATATTAGCCTATTATAACTCTAGCTCATATACAGTATTGTTTGTGTTCATTGAGCGCTGTTCCTGACAAATAAATGCTTATCGCGCTATTGAGACACTCAAAATTACCACAAGGGAAATTCCTTCACCGTAACACCGTGTCCGAACCATAAGATTCCAGAGACAAATAATTAGTCTGTCCACACTAGACGCGACTGCGAGATGCGTCAAAATCAATCAAAACCCACAGCCAATCAGAACGTGGCACTCGTGGCACCAGAGAGTCATCCTCATAGAGATCCATAATAATAAAGGCGGAGTCTCTATCGTCATCACCGGCGGCCATCTTGCCACAGGCAAGCTTTCTGGCGGGCTCTGTGGTGCCTGATGTAAGATGAGTGATCAGCACGAACACAAATACTCTTATCTCGGTGAAATCTTGACGGATTTACAAACGGTTTGGTTTCTTACAAACGTTATTAACGTGGCTATAATTCTGGATGATTATTTATTTATACAATCATTATTTATAAGTATGCAGTGTCATAACTACATCTCTGACGTTTATAACAAACCAACCCGTTTGGAAATCGGTAGAAAATTGAGCAAGTTATGGTTATTTAAAAAGTACATGCACCATTAAAACACAATGTTACGAGTGAGCGAGCTGCCTGTGACAAGATGGCCGCCAGTGCGGACGCCGACCTCCATTGGCCAGCAGCGCGGACGAAACATCTAGCCTTTATTATGGATATCTATGGTCATCCTGACGGCACTCGCAAGAACATGGATAAGTCGGCTACATATAATCAAATTCACAAATATTACACCATTTAAACATTATTAAAAACACATAGGATACTGAGTTACTAAAACAATCTTTGTCAAAGAATACACCTGTTTGTTCACAGTTTGAACGTTCTTGTTTCCATTTGTTTAATTTCAAGATCTGAGGTGAATTATCCACTGTTGCTTGTACGGCTACAAAGCTGGAGCACTGTATGATATTCAGAGTCACATCACACACTTTTAACAGTAAATAAAGCACATAAACAGCACCTGAGATTATCATTGCCACACTTTTGTGTTTGTTGCTCCAGCGCGACGTCACAGAAAAACAGAAACCGTTTCGGCTGGTTAGGACAAAAACTCTGATTAACATGAAAGACGCCTTTTATCGCGCGTCGCATGTAGTTTGGACCGTAGACTGTAAAAAATATGGACAAAGCGTCTGTGACGTCACACATAGACTTTCTGAATAACGGTTTTGAGGCCGTTTATGGGCGGCGCCATCTTTTGAAAATCTTGGGAAATCCTAACCCCGCCCACCTTCTGGCCAATCCATATATGGGTAAAAGGGCGGGCTTTGTGTGAGACTGAGCCGGCCGGTGGACGCGCCTCTTCAGCCGAGCTCAGCTATCTACCGTTACAAGATAGGCTACTTTTTACAGTCTATGGCGACTACATTCACTGCAAAGCTGCTGAAGAACACTCCAATGTGCTCGCAGATCAGTCTATTCTTATGTTACATTTATTCATTTGGTAGACGCATTTACAGTGTTTCAAACCTCAGTTATAACCATAGGTAAAGTACCTCGGACGCTAACTTATCTGAGGCGATTTAATGCTAACTGTTGCAGTGCCACTGCCCACAAACATTGATGCTAGATAGTGCTAACTACGTGAAATAGTAGTGGAATGTCACTTACCGGAAAAAATGGAGCGAAGTACTCCTACAGTGTCGGTTAGTACAGTTTATAGCAGAGCAACACATTTTATGTACGATATTTCAATACAAATGTTCAGAAAGGATACAGAGGTGGTGTGATGTGTTGTGTCAGATCATGGCCGAGACGTCAAATTTCAGGAGTTCCACTCGACGCAGCCCGTTATCAGCTGTCAATCAAGCTGTCAATCAAAGTTAACCACGCTCTTATTTGTCATACATTTTATATCTAAACTACCGAGTTAGAAAAAAATTCACCCCCCTCACAGTTGTCAGGCACTCGGAACCTATCCAAAAATACAATAAAAGTCCATGGGACCAACCTGTAAAAACATGAATTTATGCTGTGAAAACGGACATTTTAACATGGGGAATTGGGGGTCTATGGATATTTGCTCCCTTTTGGGACCTGTCCCTAGTGGATTTTCAAGGTATTGCAGTTTTTCTTCATTTTTCAGATTAGAATGTTGCCGCTTGGTTTGGACACGGTGTGACAGCCCTACTCTGACCCTTGACCTCTCTTCCAGGTGAGCTTGGGAGAGTCCCTGTTAGAGGCGGAGACTGTCGAGGACCTGGACACGCCCGTCAACTGCTTCAGGAAGTTGTTTGGTACAAATTTATCATCTCTTCATTATTTTATTTGTGTGTTTTTGTGCTTATTTTCCTTGAGCAATTTTGTTGGTCTGGTTCTCAGTGTGTGACGTCCTGCCGCTGATTCTGAATAATCCAGAAATGTGTCTCCCCGTCAGTCTGCTGTATAAGTACATGCACAAAGCAGCCGAGTTTTATATTTGCTACGCCACAAAGGAGCCGTCGGCGGACGGACAGATTCAGGGTAAACGCATGTTATTCTGCTATTACTCCATGAATTTGCATACTGCATAAATAGTGTGTTTTCTATAGTAGTGCACATTTTGTTTCATTTAATTGCACCTTATACGAAACAGATTTTTACAAAGCAGCTTCATAGAAGTAAACAGGAAAATAACAGAATTAATGTTGCAAAGTTAATCAATTATGAAACGGGCAACCGTGTCTATTTCAATAACATGCTATTTTGTGATTGGTCAGGCTCACAGGAAGTGGGTGGTCTGAAGTCTCCGGGAAGGGGGCGGAGTCAGCGTGTTGTGATTGACGGGCTGTCGGAGAAGTCGTCAGTGGTGACGGAGCCGTGGGAGCGCATGCTGGAGATGGTGCGTGTCGTCGGCTCGCTCTGTGATTGGCAGGGAGAGAAAGGAAGCCGGTGAGAATCTGTGAACGATGTCATAGGGCCCTATTGTAACGATCTAAGCACATGGTCTAAAAGGGTTATCACTGTTCTCTTAATGAGTAATGAGTGTGTTTTGGGCGTAATGTGCAATTAACCAATCAGAGTCTCATCTGCGATTCCCTTTAAAAGCCAGTTGCGCTCGTGTCATGGCGGATTCGCTAGCATGGAGGAATGAAACTGAAAACTGCGTCGGGCTGAAACTAGCAAAACACTCTTGCGTCGGCCTGGCGCTGCATTGCTCCAGGTGTATGATAGGGCCCTTAATGATTGATGCGTATGATCAGCTCTTACTCTCTGTGTGTGTGTGTGTGTGTTGCAGGTCGTACTCGGAGCTCCTGCAGCGTGTAACGGAGTTGTGTCGGTACATGTCTGCTGCGGATGGAGAAGGGTTCTCCCGCTGCTGTGGTCAGATCGTGACCTGCTGCTCACTGGTGCTGTTTCACTGCGCGTTCCACTACGTCTCTGCCGTACAGCCGTCGCTCTTCCAGGGTGAGTGAGTGAGGCAACTCACTCACAGTCACTCACAGTCACTCACAGTCACTCACTCACTCACAGTCACTCACAGTCACTCACAGTCACTCACTCACTTACAGTCACTCACAGTCACTCACAGTCACTCACAGTCACTCACTCACAGTCACTCACAGTCACTCACAGTTACTCACTCACAGTCACTCACAGTCACTCACAGTCACTCACAGTCACTCACAGTCACTCACTCACTCACAGTCACTCACAGTCACTCACAGTCACTCACAGTCACTCACTCACTCACAGTCACTCACAGTCACTCACAGTCCCTCACAGTCCCTCACAGTCACTCACTCACAGTCACTCACTCACAGTCACTCACTCACAGTCACTCACTCACAGTCACTCACTCACAGTCACTCACTCACAGTCACTCACTCACAGTCACTCACAGTCACTCACTCACAGTCACTCACAGTCACTCACAGTCACTCACAGTCACTCACAGTCACTCACTCACTCACTCACTCACTCACAGTCACTCACAGTCACTCACAGTCACTCACAGTCACTCACTCACTCACTCACTCACTCACTCACTCACTCACTCACTCACTCACTCACAGTCACTCACAGTCACTCACAGTCACTCACTCACAGTCACTCACAGTCACTCACAGTCACTCACAGTCACTCACTCACTCACTCACTCACTCACAGTCACTCACAGTCACTCACAGTCACTCACAGTCACTCACAGTCACTCACTCACTCACTCACTCACTCACTCACTCACTCACTCACTCACAGTCACTCACTCACTCACTCACTCACAGTCACTCACAGTCACTCACAGTCACTCACAGTCACTCACTCACTCACTCACAGTCACTCACAGTCACTCACTCACTCACTCACTCACTCACAGTCACTCACAGTCACTCACAGTCACTCACAGTCACTCACTCACTCACTCACAGTCACTCACTCACTCACTCACTCACTCACAGTCACTCACAGTCACTCACAGTCACTCACAGTCACTCACCCACACACTAGGGGTGTAACGGTACATGTATTCATATTGAACCGTTTCGGTTCGAGGCTTCCGGTTCGGTACGCATACAAACAGAACGATATTGGACCATTTTTGCTGCCGACAAAATTCGCGCTGGCGCGATCACCACAACGTTGCGCAACATCAAATGGCAAGCGTAATGAAAGCGGAACGAAACTGCGCTACTCATTATATTGTGCTTCACGGACCGTTTATCAATTCGGACCAGCAACATCTGTGTGCAGCGCAAGCCGATCTCGATCAAGCGACACTGTAACTTACTACACAGCGCTAAGAGATCCAGTAAAGAAAACATTTGAATTCGCCACTGAAGTAATAACATCGCTGCGAGATCTAGTGAGAAGCATTCACATTTCTCCGTTATTAACCGTAGACCTCTATTAGATCAAACAGCGCTGACGTGGACACAAGGAGAAACATTGTGCCGTGAATGAACTAGTAATACTTTACGTCCACAGACCAGCAACATCCACCATGGATTTAATACAGTAACACTAACTGTAACCAGTTTGGCTGGAATAGTGAAATGCTTTCAAGTACTTCACACATCTTTTTCCAGCACTTCAAAACTCAAATAATATATAAATAAATATATATTTAAATGTTATTTTTAATGTGATGACCAAAACATTATTTGTTCATCCTTCAAAGATGACCCCCATTTATAAACCTGAAAGTTTCAAGATGTAGGAAAACTCAGTTATTTAAAAATATTTTTTCTTTTAACAAATAGGAAATTTCTCTGGCATTTTCTTTCTTTTTGCTGTATCGAAAACGTACCGAACCGTGACTTTAAAACCGAGGTACGTACCGAACCGTGAATTTTGTGTACCGTTACACCCCTACCACACACTCACTCACAGTCACTCACCCACACACTCACTCATACCCGTGTGTATATATATATTAGTTGTGATTGATTAATCTGCCTGTGTGTCTCTTTGCGCAGTAGAAGTGTGATGGTGGGATGTGTCGTTACAGGCCAAGGTTCTCTGAGCTCGAGTCCCTGGGTCCTGCTGGAGGATCTGTCCAGTGTGTACACTGATGTGGAAGTGGAGCGAAAGCACGCGCACAAGAAGCGCAAGCTGGCCGACGGACGAGAGAAAACCATGGTGAGGCTCAGAGGGCAAAGTTTATTGGTCATTATTACACGGCTCTGTGGAATACTTGATTCTGATTGGTCAATCGAGCCATTCAGCGTTATGTTATTCCCAGATAGTAACCTCTGAGAGCAGAAACACAGGCTCATCCGGTCACTGCAGTCAGCAGCGCTATACGCTCGCGAGGAACGCTTTCTCTTTGGGGAAGTTTTGCGTTTGGTGAGCTAATAAAATATTAAAACTCAGTCGAATCAATATTTTGTGTAGTTATTTAATTATGCCATCCAGTATCGTGGACTCGCTGTCTCGTTTCATACAAACACAGCGGCGGCCATTTTGTGACTATTGTTTTGTAAACTCACTGTTGGATTATATGATACAAACGGTATGATTTTAAAACAGTTTAATCTCAAATCAATATCTCTTATCTCCATAGTTATTTATGTGTTGAAATGCTGAGTAATAAGTGTTATGACTGTATACCGTATCTCTTAAATGTCCATCTAGTTTGAACTCGCCGCTGAAACTGCTCTCTCCGCGCAAGCTTAGCGTTTAAAGAGCTAATCCAATATTTAGACTCAAGATCAATATTTCATGTCTAATTATTTACTTGCGTGGCAAGCAGGCGTGTAATAATAACAGGATAATGTACATCCAGGCGGTTGTTATCTCAGAATAAACCCCTTCAGGTGTGTGTGTGTGTGTGTGTTAAGGTCAGTTCTGTGTGAATGTATGTGGTGTACATCAGTGCTGACTGTGTGTGTGTGTGTGTGTGTAGAGCTCTGATGATGAGGACGTGTTGGCCAAAGGCAGAGGGCGGCACATCGTGGTGAATAACACAGAGATGTCCAGTTGGGCCGAGACCTTGGAGCACTTCCGTACAGCCAGAGAGAGCTGGGATCTTCTGCATTCACACCAGAGCCTGGAGACAGGTATCTCGATCTGTACAAACATTCAAAGCTCATTCTTAAAGGTGCTATATGGAACTTTTCTTCTAAAATGAATCCTTTTTTTATTGCCTGTGTGTGAAGGGGTTGTAATCACACATTACAATGATCCACTTGTCGAGTTTTGCTATTACCTCTGAAGGCCAGTATTCCTATTTCTATGTGAAGTCTCCGGGTCGGATTTACCGCGAAATCCAACGGATGTGACGTGCATGCGCGCTCCCGAGCCTCTCTCCTTATATACAGTCTATTGTAGACGGTCAGGGAGTTACGTCTGGTTAAAGGCGCACGTTTTTGGGCTTATATCTCAGTCAATCTTTGATCAATATTCCCAAGACTCTGATCGTTCGTAGTGCTGGACGGGGCCTTTCGAACGAGCCCACCCCCGAGGTCCAACTCGCCCGGCTCCCCGAGTTATAGCCGTTCGAAATGGGGGGTCCCAGCGAACGGCGATCCGGTAGGGGGCATCCCCGAGGCCCGCCACTCTAGCGTTCGGGCAAGGGTTCCCCTGGGACCTCCTCCCCCGAATTTGAGCTCTCTGGGTCTTTGCGTTCCAGAGATACGAGCGATTTTCTTCTGAGATCGTGACGTCACCGGCGTCCGCAATTTTGCAGCGCGCCCGATGGTTTTCTGCTCATATCTCCGCGAAAACACCACCAAAAACTATGGAACTTATATGGTTCTTTTCAGCTCGACTAGATGGTCCCAACGAGCTCGGTGCTCGCCGAATCCGTCTAGTATTCGCCGAGATATTTGAGTAATAGACGGTATTGTCTATGAGTTTGAGCACGAGCGCTCTTGTAAAA